GTCTAAACCGATCCTAAGTATGTACTGCTGGAGGAAGTCCTTTGTCCAAGGCTGGGTTAGGGGGAAATAGAGAGTTGTTTCAGGGAAGCAGTGAAAGCAGTTAAAACTATGAATTAAGTCAACAAGACTTATCAGCAGGGGAGAATGTAGCCCAGCTGAACATGTAAAGCCGAATCCCTGAATTGAGGTGTTCCAGAGCAGTGTTGGGCAGTAACACTCAGTAACATGTTACTGTAATATTAACACTTTCCCCAGTAACTAGTAGTGTAACTAATTACTTTTCTAAAACAGTAATATTATCACAGGTACTGATCCAAGTCGCGCTGCGTTACTTGTTAAGGAATGCAGCATCATGGGCGACTGTGCGGCATCTGAGCAGAACCGGACTTCGTTGTTCATGTCCCCTAATAGCCAAAAACTAATGGAAGAATGGAGAACGAGGGAGAGAGGCGTTCTTTCCACAGCTGAAAGTAGTTACTGCCATTATTGTGTCACAGTTTAAGGAACATTGTCGTCTAGTGTAAACTCTGACCAGCAAAAAGCTTTCTACCGCGAACAATTCTACATTTAATTTATTGATGCATCTGCTGAAGCAGCACAGCAAAGTGAAACTTGCAGAAAGAAACTCCAGCAGCTGCTGTCACTGAGGTAACGTAACGTTTTGTAAAAATACCGAATAGTGCTCTTATAAATAGGCTACATGTGCAGAAAAACAGTAGTTCAAAAGTCGGGATTTTCTTGCTTTATTTTTTTATTTCAGCCGGTGGCCGTAAAGAAACGTCATATGTTTTGTAAAAAAGAAAAAAAAAGACTAATAAGTAACTAGTAATATATTACAATTTCTGAGTAACTTGCCCAACACTGTTCAAGAGGGGAAAGCAGGAAGTAAACAAAAAGTTAGGAAGTGAAGAACATCCCATGTTGAGCTACGCAACGCTGTCTCATGGGGTGTTTTCAGCTTCCATAAACAGAAAATATGTAACTGTGACATCTGTACAAAATTATGGAATCATGTGCACTAACATGACTTTATACAAGTAAAAATATGTATATCGTTTTCTGTTGGTGATTCAGTGGTACGATGTTTACAGATGGTGATCAGCTGAGTAACTCGCTAGATGCCGGCAGAGCTAGTGCTTTCTGAGAGCACGGAAGTCCATCCTTTAGAGATATGTATTTTGTGTTCATGCATGTTTGAGAATATTTAGAGTGTGTGCATAGTACCAGAAGTAATGTTTGTTTTCAGTGTGTGAGTGTATGTTTTTTTGCTGCAACTTTTCAGATAATAATGTACCAAATGTTTCATCATCTGTCTCAAACTGATAGTATGTGGTTTTGTTTATTTATTTTTATTTTAATAGGAGAGTTACCACTACAGTTATGTAAGCACTGATTTATACACTAAATTTATGAAATTAAGTTAAGCACTGAAGTTATGTACTAATATTTATTTACTTATTTAGCACAGTTTATAAGGACATTCTACGTTAGCTTAAGATACAAGTGTTATGGCAGAAAATTGTGTAATGTTATAGATATGCATTGTGTTTTTATCCTTAACCTTACTCCTCCTATACTCCTTATGTTAGTCTGTCCACATTTACTAGGGTTTAGGTCAGAGCTGTGAGATTGTTTTGGTGTTTTCCTCTCTTGTTGTTCCTCTCCTCTCATGGAATGTTCATTCAAGGCTGAGAGAGGATCTCTGTTCCCCAAAATATAGAAACCTAGACTGTGTAAGTGATAATGCATCCCTTTGCTCGGGGCCAGACGCCCGATACCGTCCTAGGCGGCAGGTCTCTGGACCAGCTGTACGTGTGTTTTAATAATAAATTAATAATAATAAATTTTATTTATAATGCACTTTACATTTCAGGGAAATCTCAAAGTGCTACAACAACAAGGGGTTAAAAACAGTTCCAGAAAATAACAATCGCAATAAAACACCGTAACAAAAAATTTTTGAAATAAAAAAGTCTTTAGGCCCTTCTTAAAAACCTCCAGAGTTTGTGGGGCCCTTAGGGGCTCTGGGAGGGCATTCCAGAGCCGTGGGGCGACTGCCTGGAAGGCCCTGTCTCCCATGGTGGAGAGTTTAGTCCTTGGTTGGTGCAGGCAGTGGGTAGAGGTGGAGGAGCGGAGGTTTCTTAAGGTGGTGAGTGGGGTGAGGAGTTCACTGAGGTAGGCAGGGGCAGTTCCATGTATGCACTGGTGGGTAAGGAGACAGATTTTATATTGAATTCTGTATTGAATGGGCAGCCAGTGGAGGGATTTCAGGACTGGAGTGATATGGTCATATTTGCGCCTCCTCGTCAGGACCCGGGCAGCGCAGTTCTGAATATGCTGGAGCTTTTGCAGTCTCCTGCCAGGGATCCCGACGAGGAGGGCATTACAGTAGTCCAACCTGGAGGGTTTTACTACTTCTCTGTTTATTCTCCTCTGTTAAATAAATTCTTCAAAGACAACAGTTGGTTGTTACTCAATTCTTTGCTCAACCCCTCACCAAGAATATAATTTCCACGACAATCTGGCACCAATGAAGGACAGAGGCCTGCTTAAAATCCTCTCAGTAGGGAAAAAGCTGTGCTCAGCGGAGCCCTGATCTTCGCTCCGTTGCAGAAAGAAAAGGAAAAGAACTTCCACGACAACAAGTCACTGTGTTTGGTTCATGTGAGACTGTAAATGTGCTGAATTTGCTTGTAAAGGAAAATCTGTGTGAAATGTAAACACATTGAATGCTTCGATCTCTTTAATACCACTCTTCTGGAGAGCATACATATGCAGAAATATAAAAACCCAGATATAGTTTGTGTCCAGGGTCATTTAAATTTACCCGGCAACATTTATTATAACATTTCAGCTAAGTTTGGATGATTTTAAATAGATTAGAATTGGAATCTTAATTAGCTGAATAAAAAGTGGAGTGCTTGGCATTGCCATAATGAACAGCTACAAAGTGAATGTAAACAGCTTGCATGCAAGTTGTTTGCAAAGTAACATCTCAACTAAATGAATGCTACAGTGAGTAGGCCTACTTAAGAAACAAAATACCTTATTGACCCCAGTCAACCAATTCAAGATCTTCTTTTCGTTTAATCAATTGCTCAGGCAGCTTAACTTGACATTTGTTGACAGAGCTGACCTGTTCTTCTGCGTAGTGTGACCTGCCAAACAAAATAGTCTCTCTCATGCCACTGTTGAGGCAGGTGTTGCCAAGTACCTTTGTTCAATATGTGGGCAGACAACCACTGTAATGGATATGTCTCTAAGCTGGACTCTGCCCTATACCTGTCTAAAGTTTTGTGTGTGGACAGTGCATCATCATCAAGCTCTGACTTTGACCCATTAGTAAGAGCTATCTTGTTTTTTGTGGTTTTGGTTGCATTTACTCTCTGGAGGGCTATGATGCAGGTTCACTGTCCTTCAGCATCTCACGAAGCTTTTGACACACCTCTTCCCTCTCTTCTCTGGGCCAGCAACTGAGGTCCTTGAGCTGTTGCTACCATGACAGATTTGTGTTCTCCTTTCATTTCTTGAGGTCTTCTATGAATGCAGCATTATAGTGCACTACATAGGCAGGGTCAACATCTGAGACCTCTATGGTAAACAAGAAGTGACAGAGTGCAGGAAGCCCCACAGAGCAAGACACATGTTTATGATCCACCCAGGATCTCAGTGACATATCTACAAACACAGAAGACCAACAAAATGAATATCTGCACTTTTCATTCAGGTAACACCCATTTAGGGGACAGGCTTACATTTATTTCTAAAATACCAAAGTACTATTATACATTAAAATAGACTATTATATTAATTGTATTTGTCATAAAATAAAATTAGAGAGGATGGGTAAATCACCCAACCTGCATTGCTCAAGCAATGTTTCCAACTTTGCCAGCCAAAGCTGAAAGTCAGGGTCTGGTTTGATTTTAAACAAGTCAGTTTGCTGTTTTATTTTGGATTTTTTTTTAGATTGGATCTGTTTGTCCAGCACATACCACAGATGCTCGATTGGATTAAGATCTGGGGAATTTGGAGGCAAAGTCAACACCTTGAATACGTTGTTGTGTTCTTTAAGCCATTCCTGAACAATGTTTGCTTTGTGGCAGGGCACTGCTTATGGAGGTGGTACATGTAAAAGTAACATCCATATGAATGACAGGACCCGAGGTTTCCCAGCAGAACATTGCCCAAAGCATCACACTGCCTCTGCCGGCTTGCATTTGTCTCATATTACATCCTGGTGCCATGTGTTCCCCAGGTATCAGACCGTTAGATTAGACCACACAGGCCAGACTTTGCTCCACACATTTATCAGTGAGCCCTGGTGGCCTGTGACGCTGTCGTGGTTTCACCGCTTTTCCTTACTCGGACCACTTTTGATGGGTACAGACTGGGAACACCCCACATAAGCTGCAGTTTTAGAGATGCTCTGACCCAGTTGTCCAGTCATCCCAATTTGGCCCTTGTCAAAGTTTCTCCAGTCCTTACCCTTATCCATTTTTCCTGCTTCTAACACATCAACTTTGAGCACAAAATGTTCACTTGCTGCCTTATATTTCCCACCCACTGATAGGTGCCATTGCAACTGTTAAATCAGTGTTATTCACTTCACCTGTCAGTGGTCATAATGTTATATATTATCCTCATTTCTATTCAGTCCCTTTCAGATTGTTTTTGATCTTTTGTCCAAGTCGTCTTTCGTCTGCTCAGCACCTCTGCCCAGAACTCTACCTATATGTTCTTTTGTATGTATTGTGGATTCACATTTCACTCCTGTTTGTTATTAATATTAATTAATATTATTGCTTTTGTTGCCGGTGGATTGTCACTTGTTGTCCGGTTGGATGCTTACTTTGGATTGCACTTTGCCACACTCCATATGTGTGTAGAACAGTACTTTTTTTCTTTCATTAATAAATTATGAAAACTCATCCTGCCTTGTCAAGTCTGCTATTGGGTCCTAAAAGCTGTTACCTGCCTGAGCACACGTCACAGTATCTGACAGGCAGGAGAGCAGTGGTTACCAACTCCTCTCACATAGCAGAAGTATTGCAATCTGTATTCCTAAAACAAAATATAGGAATTTCCTTGAAAACACAATGTTGAGAATTTGCAGCAGAGCTCTGGTAAGTAACAAACCTTTAGTTAATTCTACCTGTTTACACTGTCCTGAGTTTTTCTCAGTTGCTTTGATACATTTGTCATATCATTCATTACACTTTCAAAATAGTAAGTGCATTTCTTGAAACAGATCTTACAAACAGCACTATACAGTGGATTACTTGCAAAATTCTCTAACTTGCTCAAAAGGCTTTGTCTTTGTGTGACTGCGTTGTGTAACTTTGGTTGTGTTTAGGTTTTTACACACTTCACACAGTCAACATATACATAGTAGATGTATATTTTGAGCACCCTTTCATTCACAATAGTGATGGTCACAGAGCCTTCTGTCAAAAATGGTAGTGTTGTTAAATGGTACACAAAACTTAATTCTGTGAATTAATAACTTGCTCATTTCATGTCATACAAAAATAAACAGTATGTTAAACATCAAAACAACATCTGTTAACAAGGGTTAGCTGAATTACTTATTGGTTAGATAGCGAATATAGCAGTTCATTTCCTTTTTGGGAGTGACTCCATCGTTTAATGATGAGCATCTGGCAAATCTTATCTTCAGACCACAAAGTGTGTGATTGTGTGTGTGTTCAGTCTCTTGTCTTTACTAAAGCAATCAAAGAGATGCCATAGTTATTTGTGACTTTGTTGTCTTGATAAGACCTGCATGACTGCAAGCTCAGTTTCCACATTGACTCCTTTGCTTTCGGGATAAAGAGAAGTTTCACAAAAGAGATGCAACAGGCTGGAATGACATTGACTGTGTAGCTGAGTCTACATTCTGACGGCATGGTGCAGTTAAAGCCCATTAATAATAGTACTTCTCAGTCGCTTTGGCACATTCATCACATGACTTAAAGGACATTTAAAGGACATTTCATGTGCATAACAAGTGTATCTACAACATCAGAGTGAATGATGTGTAAACAGAACAGTTGTCCCTGAGAAGCTTTTGATTCAAACTTCAAAACACTGTAAATGATACAGTTACAGTACAGGAAGTACAGGATGAAAACATACAGTGTATTATATTATGTAGTACAAGTTAAATGTAAGTTTGTAAACCTGCAAACTGATAAAGTCAGTATTAATGAATTCCTAAAATAATAGAAGCAAGTAGAAGGTAAGATCGTTGAGATTAGTGTTGTTTGACTTTGTCAAACTATCTGAATATTCACATGAACATTAGATCAATTGTTCACGACTATAGTAATTTATGATTGCTTTGGCACAAAATGCACCGAATAACCTTGCAGATCAAAATACTTTGCATTTCTTTGCTATTGAACTTGAGGCTCGATGGGGAACTATTTAATTTCCTCACAATTTAGAACAACCAAACGCAACTGCTGTCTAATTTAGCTTACAGGCGAAACTCATAACCAGTCAGTTCTCAAACAAATTTATACAGCAGGGGTAAGACTCAGTGTTACAGCTGTGGAATATGTAGTATATAGGAGACAGAAAGGGGCAAGAGGAAGGGGCATTAGGTATGTCAGAGATCGGGACTCAAGTTTGAGACTTAGTTTTGAGCAGTAGTTTCTAAGCTACTATTAGTTGTACACGCATTAGGCTACATGGTTGTGCTATGTAAGTAAAAAACAGGATACAGGTTTATTGTTGATCATGTAACGTTACAGTTTTATTTAGTTAACGTTACACTGGTTTGAGCTCTGGGGTGTGTTTACTAGCAGTAGTTAATAACCTGTCATTAGTTGCATTGCACATTACATGGTTGTGCTCTGTAAGTAAAAAACAGGTTAACCACATTATAACCACAAGAGACTGGTGAGGTGTGAGGAAGAGATAGAGGGGGCACAGAGGACAAGAAAGAGAAAGGCAAAGACACAGAGAAATCTCAAATGAGATACAGGCAACAACTATAAACCATGCAATCAACCATAGCCTAAGTATGACAGAGGCTGGTCAGAGAGTAAAGCCTAATCTCGGCCAGTCCACTGTGTCGTCGAATAAATGTTTGGTTTAAAGTATAGTGTGTGCCATGGCTTACATCAATACTATTCTGCTGCCTAATTATAAAATTTTAGCAATTGGACTATATTACATAGTGGGTAACTCACACTTTCAGAGTACACGGTCATTTGACAAAATGTCTGCATTTTAGCTGGCTTGGCAAAGATAAAGGAACCTTTTGTTTTGATTACAATGATTACATTGATGGATTTATATAAGTAAATATATAAGTATAAGCCTTTGGCATCTGGTCAAGATAAAACAGCTGTAACTAGTTATTAATGCATAAAATACATCCATGTAGTTGAGCACATTCATGTATCGCTCAGGTGGGGATGGTGAAGCCCTGTCACTTGGTTAAACCTGTATCAGCAACTCTGGTTGCTGCCAGAAACCTGACCCAGCAGAAGGGACTGCCCAGTCAGCCTGTCCCCCCTCTGCATCAGACCTGTGAGCTCTACCTCAGCATGCTGGAGCCCATCGTGGAGGAGGACGAGCTGAAGCGCACAAAAGAGCTGGTGAAAGACTTTCAGAAAGCAGGAGGGGTCGGAGAGAGACTACAGAGAGGCCTGGAGAGGAGAGCACGCAACACTGAGAACTGGGTGAGCTCAAGATCTACACCAACAGCTGTAGACACATTTTCTGGAAAAAGGTGCTAATATGTTCCTGGGAGTGACACATTCTGTTTTCATATAAATGCATTCAGTAAATCATCAGTTTATAACACACTCAGCACCTGGGACAGACCTTTAGAACATCCTGCCAGCGAGGAAGAGCTCATAGACCCAGTTTTGGTGGGATTGCAACGATTTCATAATTATCTTGACTAAATGTTAACAATGAATTTAAAAAACGACTGCAGTTATATTCTTAAACCTTATTGCCCTAAGCAAGGCCCAGCAACCAGGAGGGTGGGGCTATAGTGACTGGCGCTGCAGCTCAGAGGTGGAGATGGTGTAGGTACATCTGATGTTGCATTATACTGAGATATGCAGTCAAACGGATCATATAAATATCTTATCAAAAGGTAGAAAATCACAGTTGCAGAATGTTGGGATATGATTAATTCCTAGTTTGAATAAAAATACTTTTAAAAAGTGCCCTTTTCCCCTTAACTCTAATCCATGAAGGGTGCAAATACCCAGACGTCCATGTGTCCCTAAGGCAGGTAACAGCACCATCAAACAGATTCTTTACAAACTAAAGGGACTTAATCCCTTCTATCCTTTCTATGTCTGTCATTAATTGTTTGTAACTGTTTGCAGGTAACAGAGGATTATTTAAAGTATGAATTTCTCAACAAACGGCATTCTTTGGTGGTTCAGTCAAACACTGCGTTGGTCTATCCCCGAATGGAATTCATAGATAAACAGGAACAAATAAGGTAAACACACACACACACACACACACACACACACACACATACACACACGTACTGTCTTTACACTCACGGCCACTTTCATAGGTACAACTGTTCAATTGCTTGTTAACACAAATAGCTAATCAGCCAACCACATGGCAGTAACTCAATGCATTTAGGCATGTTTACGTGATCAAGACAACTTGCTGAAGTTCACACCAAGCATCAAAATGGGGAAGAAAAGGGATTTAAGCGACTTTGAACGTGGCATGGTTGTTGGTGCCAGATGGGTTGGTCTAAGTATTTCAGAAACTGCTGATCTACTGGGATTTTCACGCGCAACCATCTCTAGGGTTTACAGAGAATGGCCCGAAAAAGAGAAAATATCCAGTGAGCAGCAGTTGTGTGGATGAAAATGCTTTGTTAATGTCAGATGTCAGAGGAGAATGGGCAGACTGGTTCGAGATGACAAGAAAGCAACAGTAACTCAAATAACCACTCGTTACAACCAAGGTATGCAGAATATCCTCTCTGAACACACAACACAACGAACCTTGAAGCAGGTGGGCTACAGCAGCAGAAGACCACACCACTCAGCTAAGAACAGGAAACTGAGGCTACAATTCACACAGGCCCCCCAAAATTGGAATAGAAGATTGGAAAATCGTTGCCTGGTCTGGTGAGTCTCAGATGGTCAGAATTTGGCCTTAACAACCTGAAAGCATGGATCCATCCTGCCTTGTATCAACGGTTCAGGCTGGTGGTGGTGGCGTAATGGTGTGGGGGATATTTTCTTGGCACACTTTGGGCCCTTTGTACCAACTGAGCATTGTTTCAGCATGACAGCCTACCTGAGTGTTGTTGCTGACCATGTCCATCCCTTTATGACCACAGTGTACCCGTCTTCTGATGGCTACTTCGAGCACCATGTCACAAAGCTAAAATCATCTCAAACTGGTTTCTTGAACATGACAATGAGTTCACTGGACTTTAATGGCCACCACAGTTACCAGATCTCAATCCATTAGAACACCTTTGGGATGTGGTGGAATGGGAGATTCGCATCATGGATGTGTCTGCAGACAAATCTGCAGCAACTGTGTGATGGTATCATGTCAAAATGGACCAAAGTCTCTGAGGAATGTTTCCAACACCTTGTTGAAAGTATGCCACAAAGAATTAAGGCAGTTCTGAAAGCAAAAGGGGGTCTAATAAAGTGGCCGGTGATTGTATTTACCAGTGTTCTTGCAACAACTCGCCACAAGTTTTTAGAGTGAGAACTGTCCTTGGGTGAGACATTTTTGAAACAACATCTTTGTTTAAAACTCGTAGGGATCCTTTCCATGATGTTCCACAAATGAATTCAACAAAAACTGTGCTGTTGGCAGAAATGGCTCCTGGCATCTCAGGGCTAAAACCGCCGTAACTAGTCAGGCTTATGGAGGTGTGCATTGACCAATGCACAACCTCTCACCCTTGACACAAAAAGGGAAGGAAGACATGGCTGGTAGTATTGCCTCAGCTTGTTGATGTGTGCACAGGGACGTCCACAGACATTTTGGTGGGCATAATATATTAACTCAACAACATTTTTACTTTTCTACAAAATAATCAGTTTACACAGAGACCACTTCTTTAGTATTCACTAGGTTTATCACAGGAGCAGCGACAGCAAAATTTGCATGTTTTCTATGCTACTAGTTTCAAGTATATATTTAGAATAAATGACAGTTTCATTAATAATTTGTTTACTTTTCACACAATAAATCGTTTCAATTCTTTTGGTGTTATTGGAATACATAATACTTCACATAAATCTTCACACTAAACTGTGGCATTGGGCTGCAGGCATAATTAAAATAAATGTTACTTAAATACTTTTACTTTTTGTTTCACAAGCAAGATGCCAAATGAGTAAAGATAACCTCCAGCTTCACACAGCCAAGCAACAGAATAATGACTTGATTATATTACATTTACCATGCACACACACACACACACACACACACACACACACACACACACACACACACACACAAACATACACACAGTACATTAGGTTGTAAAGCCATGAGATTTTGCCTTAGCTAAACTTCAGCTAAATTATAAAGGAATTCAAAAAGGATTAATCATTACGAAAGCACAAACTATTTTGCTCTCTTCTTCCTCTTTAACATTTAAATTTATAAAAATGTTTTCTCTGTTTAGGTGTGCTGCCAAATACATAGTGGGTTTTTTGGAACTAAAAACAATGATTATCAAGTGAGTACTGAGCTCATTTTCCCAGACAAGTACGAATTCATCATCCTGACTATTATTAATTTCAGTGTTGTGATTTATTGTTTCATACAATACAGTAATATATGATTACTGTGCTGCAGAAAATCGACTGTGATATCAGCTAAAGCTAATCAATGTATTTGTTATTTTCACTTACAAACATCAACAATAATAATCAATAAGCACATTTGTAAATATTTATCGGCTGAGTAAGTATTTAATGTATGTTTTGCAGTGATGCTCTACCAGTTGAATACATGAAAGGGAAGCCACTGTGTATGAAGCAGTATGAGCAGATGATATCATCCTGCCGTATCCCTGGTCTGAAGGAGGATTCATTGGTGTTCTATGGCAGGAGCTCCAACCCCCCCAAACACATCACTGTAGTACACAACAATCAGGTGAGCAGCACCACATCCCTGGTCCAAGTCAAACATTTGTGTCTGAGCTTTTTAAAAACAAAAAAACTTTTATTGCGTGATGGCAAATTTTATTTTATGCAAAGACACAGAGAGGCTCATACTGAGTCTTATTGAAAGTAGTTGAAGGACAGTTTGCTAACCAGGGGTCACAGTAATCAAATTACCACAAAGTAATTTACACACTGACAACCTGAGGCCTTGGGGTTCCTGAGTCTTTTTGGCACCGGGACTTTGTTCAGTTGGTAATCCAGTCTTACTTTCATGCGTTTCCTCCCCTTGGATTCAGTTCTTTGTGCTGGATGTGTACAACAGTGACGGAACTCCGCTGACAGTCGATCAGCTCTGTGTTCAGCTGGAGAGGATCTGCAACGCCTCAATACAGACCGACATGGAGCCTGTCGGCATCCTCACCTCTCAGCATCGTGACATCTGGAGCAAAACCTACATCAGCCTAATGAAGGGTGAGCACAACTCTGATTTAATACAACTAAGGAACCCAGTCACCTAAAACCAGCTGGCCGCCACCAGTCGCCTACACTGTCCTTACGGTCCCCTTAATATACATACTATTACTACTTTCCCAAGCCACTCCTAAGCTGAGTAGTAAGAGTTGTGGCCAAGTGGAACAGTGGACTAACTCACACTTGACTCTGGTGATGGCTGTGGAGTACAAAATATCCGTACTCAAGTAGAAGTACAAGTAACTGTCAAAGTAAAAGCTCTGCTAGATTCCAAATTATTTAATAAAATGTAGGGCTGCCCCCGACTAAGGATTTACATAGTCGAATCAGAATCGCCAAGTTCTGCCTATAGTCGACTGATAGTCGAATCATGTGTTTTTGTGCGCGGCGATTGCGAGCCGAAGCTAAACTGGGGCTTATTGTTGACCTTTTTCTCTCTCTCTCTCTTTCTCTCCGCCATTCACCGGTTTTGCATGCATGCCATGCTGCCGACAACTGCCTGCACATCGCAGTTCCTCGAGGGTCTATTTCAAGTAGCCGGCTTTTTTTAAACAATAAAATATTCTTTGTGCGGTCCATCAACGGTGATAAATTATCTGAACGTCCCACGAGGTGTGGACAACTCGGCACAACAACAATGAAGCTGGGGCTCCGTCTCTTTCGCAGGTGTTCCTCCACTGGCGATATGAGGAGCACCTCCATATCGCCAAAATGGCATGATCCTCGTTTCACTGAAAAATGAGTGTCAATGAACATTAACATACCTGAAAATCAAAATACAATGCTTAAATTAATCACTTTAATTTATGAAGTCACCTGTCTATTATTAGGAAAAATACAACTGTGGATATGTAGGTAAATCATGATCTTTTACCTAATTTTTATATTTATTTTATTCAGGTAATCAGTGCAATCTGTGTGCGCAATATGAGTGTCAGATCTCTCCGCCTTGCCATGGCTGCCTGAAGCTACACTTTCCCTGTCCTCACGACTGTAAATTCCACTAACCACAACAAAACAAAATGGGCAAAATAGTACAACGAGTGTTACTTTGTGGCTATAACAACGCTGTTGACACAATGTACAGATAACCTGCAACCCCTGCTGGAGCAAGAGAACTATTCAACGATCAGTATATTTTTAATTAGGCTATAATCAAAACTCATGTTAGCTCTAATTTTCGGGACAAACCGGAAAGGAGTCGGGACAACTGCTCGCAATTCGGGACTGTCCCGGATTTTTTGGGACGTCTGGTCACCCTAATTGAGTTATATACCTTTTTTGTGCATGCAATAGGTTTGCGAAGTGAAAAGTCGAGTCCACGTTGCAAAGATGGTTGGCAACATGTAGCCTACACCTGAATCAAAGCTGTTTACTGGCTTCTCGCTGACCCGCCCTTCTCTGCTTCTGATTGGCTAGTAGTCCTTAACTAGAAATTGTGTATGTGCAACTCCCAACTCAGATCATTTAGAGACAAGATGTATCACTCCATAGCTAAAACGAAGCCTTCAACACAGGGTGAAAAGAGGCGCTGAAGCAATGTGCAGTATGAAAAACAAATGTTGTTTTTTGAAAATGAAACCATGTAAACCTGTTCTGCTACAACCCCTAAAAAGGATTTTGAACCTGAAAATGAGCACAATACCTCCATTGTATTGTACTGTATTGTCAGTTAAGGGACCTGAAATCTGAAACAAGTTAATGGCTGCTATAATCATACCCCACTTATCCCACATTCAAAACTCATCTCAAACGATCGCTCAAGACACATCAAAAAGGTCATCACTTATGGACTCTGTTGCTATATGTATATGTTGCTGTGTTGTATTGTATGTTTTATTTATTGTTTAATTGTGTTGTTGTATATTGTGACAATCTGCCGGGGACTATATTTACATAGCTGAAAAGCACTTGTCACTTTTAAATAAAATAAATAAATTAAAACGATGTGTAACTAACGTGAAGATAAAGCAAGTCTAGATAGATAATGTGATAATATTTAATAATAACTGTTGCAGTCTGACTACATAATAACATGATGTTTACTCTGTGTGCATGTCCTTGATGTGTTCAGATAAAACCAACAAAGAATCACTGTCTGCTATCCAAAGTAGCATCGTCACAGTGTGTTTGGACAAAGCGATGCCCCCGGTGTCTGATGAGATGTGTCGCTGCAGTGTTATTCCCTGGATGCTGACTGGAGGAGGAAGCCAGTGGAACAGTGGAAACCGTTGGTTTGACAAGGGGCTGCAGGTGATATAACACATATAGCAAATTACGCATTGATCAGCTGTGATGCAAAACACATTTTCTCCCCAAGCATAAGTACTAGGGACCAATAATACTAATCAGAAAATCTCACTGCCGGTATGACAATAAGCAAGAAGCTAACAACAGTCAGAAGAAATGTTTTCTTTCTCTCTCTTAATGCCATCCAGGACACACACACACACTGCGACACATAACTGCATTAGTCTAAAAATGCATTCAGTGCAATAAAAACATGGTTGGACTGTTGTATCAGCTGGTAAATCATGATTAAGTAATGAGAACTGATAAAACCAGCAATCAGCTGCTGAGAAAAATTAGAACACTTCTCCCTAAAATATCATCTAAAACACTGTGCCAAGGTGTGGGCTGACAGTGTTTAAACCTGTCACGACTGAGAAAAACTCCAAAGCTTCTCTAGCAACAGTCAATAAATAACACAGTCTCCAAATCTTCACCAAATGGGTGAAAACCGTAGACTGAAGTTCTCTCTAAAGTTATGCACCTCCCAACAGAAACAACCCCAGAGTCCGAGGATGGAGGAGTAAAAGTTCTGAACCCGAATGTGTGAACTCAAAAGCAGATCAGGTGAATTCAGTTTACCTGGTCAGTTTTCAGAGCAGAGGTTTAACAGCCAGTCACTCAGTGGATGCACAGTCACAGCATCTTTCCTTTCGGTTACTGGTTGGTGGGATAATATGAGCTTTTCTCAACTTGTTCCCTCCTGCTTAAGCTCCTCATTAGCTTATTGAAGGATACTTCACTAGTGCAGAATGTGAGAGCGAAGAAGAGGAAATGGGTTCTGTGGGTATATGGAAAAGCCAGGAGTGACATGATTGATGTAAGGTCCCACTCCTGAAACTCTGCTAAGTAGCTCCGACTAGCAGTCACCCATCAGTATAACAGCAAAATAGTCACACATACAGGAATGAACCGAATCATGAGGAGTTGGGATGTAATGCAAATGTTTGGTTTGTGTGTCTTATCTATTTTCAGTTAATTATTGGAGAAGACGGGATATGTGGTATAAACTACTCTCATGCCTGTGCTGATGGTGTAACCCAAATGGTGTTGGGTGAACATGTTTTACAAAACAAGTAAGTAGACCAGAGTTTCTGCAGGTGTAAGTGTTTTGATGCATTGTTGTTATCACATGATTGAAAGTCTAGCAATGAAGTTTACACTAAACCAACCACTATGTGGATAGTAGCATGGACAGGTTGAAGAATTCTTATCTTGGTATAATCACACTTCAGTACAGTGCTATTGAAATATTCCATCTGCAGTTTTGCTGTAAACAGAGTTAATGTTAACATTCAGTGTTACTCAACCACATGCATCATGTGCATCCTTAACGTCACAAGTTTAAAACCTGCATTATTAACATTCATGTTTAGTTAGATTGATTCAGACAAAACTACCCTGATATGAAATTTTGATTTCACATAAATAGCAACACCGCCACCTTTCTGTGGTCTATTAGCTCGATAAACATTGTAGTCATCCATGTTAATATCTTTGTCCGTGACTGATTTTGTCAGCCGAGTTTTGGATGTAGCTGGAATAAAAGACTTGACCGTGGCTATATTTCTTAAATGATAAAAACATAACTGAACAACTTTCTTTACGTTGGGGTTCAAAACACAAATCCTGGTCAAAGACAACGCCTATATTTCATGGCTAAGGGCTTAGCATAAGTTGTTAGTTCCCCTAGTTTGCCATGATTTGAGTTCTGTGAGCTGGGGGACAATGACATTAGAGTACAGTGACATTAGATTTTCTATGATTCAGTTGGTTTTGTGGGATCCAGTGATTTATTTCAGCAAGGCATTTGTGATGGGTTGCAATGTTAAGACTGGTCACTGGGTTTAATTATGAGACAGAGCTGTGTGTCATCGATGTAACAGTGGAATTGTAAATTGTATTTGCAGATGATATTACTCAGAGGAAGATAAATAAAGAATAGAATGGGACCAAGTGGCAACCTCGGGCTCTCATGACTGAAGCCAATGCGGAAGTAACTTAAACCTGCATTCTTTTTAACAGCCAGCACGGGGCGACTCCTGGGTGCAAAAAAGAAGTCCTGTTTCATTGATATAATGGTTAAATGACCCTACTTCTCACCTGATTTCTTACCTCAGTAAACATTTTCGTAATGAGTTTATGGTCTTAATCGTTAGTTTCGAGTCTTCTCCAATACAGCATGATGTTTATTTAGTTAATTATGGTCCCATTTCAGGAAAATAGACAATAAAGCAGAGTATGCTTTAATTTATAAAATATAAATAAAAAAAACACGAAAAAACAAAGGAATTACAAATAAGTATGCACTTTATTCTAAATAAGTCGAAAATGGTTGCCACATTGAATAAAATTTCTGAACACATACTGTAGTTGAATAGCAGATTTTCTCTAATGTCAAATGATGAGCAAGATCTCCAATCCATAACTTGAATGTTGGGGGAAGATTTTCTTTCTATTTAATGTGTATGAGAGTCTATCTTCTTTTTTGCTTGTTGACTATAGTGTATCACCGTAATAACAGAAGGTTCTCGTTTACTTCCTAGACGTCTGAATGGCCTTCAATATTAATTGACAGAGATTACTTAATTTTGGACAAGACCAAAACATATTTGAAAGGGTGACTGGTACTTGCCCGCATCGGTCGCACATGGGATCGGCACAGGTGTACTCTTGACGAGTTTTGCTGTTAGACCAGTGAAAACGATGCAAAACCTTAAATGATTATATATTGTGATTTAATATGCAATTAATTATTTAGCTCTTTACCTTCTGTGATATTCAAAATGGACAAGCAATAAATCGGTGTATAGTATGACCAACACAATATTAGGTAGATTAAACATACAATGTTTTTTCTTGTGGGTCAGGCCTGTGTTATGATGAAATTAGGTGATGCATGAATTATTACTATCAGTTCACCACAGTTTGTTATACAGTAAGCGCTCAATAGAAAACCTACAGTTCAACCACCAATTACAGAGTCCTTATCTCAGTTCAAATCTCCTGTAGAGCACTTTTCAAAAACAAGTTACAAAGTGCTATATCCCAGTAAGCAAACAAATAATACTCAGTTTGAAGTTCAATTAAAATGTTGGCCAACAAAAATAAAACCAATGATGCCTCTCCTGTTTAATAGACAAGATTAGTAATTCTCACCGGAGTTCCCCACACTCAGGCCTCTGGTAGAGGACCCGAGCTTGGGGATGACACATACCACCCCACAAGGGGTGAGAGAGGGATTATTATTTCATATATATTGTTGTGATGGCAGCCCGGCTGACGGTGAGTGTCCTGGTTTTTTCTCCTTTTTTGTCGGTTATTCTGTTTTTTCCCTGGTTTTCTCTGTACTCTGCCTGCCTCCCTGTGTCTCCTCCCCCGTGTGTGCTCCCTCTCCCTCTCTCTCTCTCTCTCCCTCCGCTCCTGAGCCCAACCAACGACCCGCACCTGCACCTCGTCAGCCACCTCCTCTGCCTGCCACACCTGCCAGCAATCAACTCCATCTCCAACTCCTGGTCCATGTCTCCTCGGTTCCCCGTGCCTGCGTTTACCCGGCGTCCACCTCTCCCTCAACTCCAGTCCCTTAACCCTTTTGTTCCTTAATAAAGTCAGTTAACCTTAAGTGCTGCGTTTGGGTACACTCTGTTCATCCTACAACACATTTTATATTTGTGTCAGCTTGCGAGATGATTCCATTTTGTTCCATCCTATGTATAATGTATTTTCTCTTGTGTGTAGAAACCGGGAAAAGCCACAGATGATGCCACCTCTTGTGATGCCTTTGCCCATGCCCCAGAAACTACACTTCAACATCACACCTGAGGTCAAGAAGGACATTGAGGAGGCCAAGCATAACATGGACATGTGAGAGTACCTTTTAGTTAGGATGGTTACATAGACAGTTATCAGAATAACTCATTTTTATTTGGTGCTGTGCTGACAGCTATATGCAGCAGCAACATTTTCATACTTAAAATGCACAGACTACAGATTATGGGCTTCAAATGTGATGAGACCTGCCACCTTTTTATTTACACCAAGTACCGTGTCCCCTTTGCATCAAGACAGCATCAGATCTTCTAGGCACACTTGCAGTTTTTGAAGGTACTTGGCAGGTTGAAGAAACACTCACTGTGTTCAGTGTTCTTCAGTCTAGAGTCTATGCCTGCAGATTGATAAGCCTTTGCCACCAACCCATCCAATTTGCAGCACTTCTTACTTGGGTGACGGTCAACTGTAATGCTCCATGGGTAGAGCGCTAGTCAACAGCGCAAAGGTTAGGCAACACTTTGTCACAAAATTTTAGGCCTTCCGCCTGCCTCCTAGGGTGCTGGCCCCGTGCAAAGGCTTTTGGAGGAGAAAATTGGTAGCAACCAGAGCAGCCTGTAGGAGTAGAGTCTCAACAGAAAAATCACCAGGCTTAGGGCAGTCCATACCCACCTGGGTGTCAACGCAAATATCTTCTTCCTAATAATAAATATCAAAGTGTCATGAGTTGTAGTTTTTGCCATTTGTTTCTGGTGTCCTTCTGTTTTCCTGTTCTTCTTGTTTCCTTGTCCTTAGTGTTTATGTCTTGTCTGGTGTTCTAGCTCGTAGTCCTGTGTTGTTTTGATATTGGTTTGGTAGTCTACTTGTTATATTGTTTCTTAGTCACTGCCTTAACTCTTGTGCCTGCATTTTAGTTCTTTGTCCTTGTTCCCAGTCCTGTACCTTATGTTAAGTGTTCACTCTGGTCTGTTTTGTGTTCAGTAACCTGTGTTCCGTCTGTTCCCCCGGTTGTCACTCTGCCTGCATGTCAGTCTCTCTATTCACTGTCTCTCTCTCTGCCTGCCTCGTTAATCTCATGTCCTTCACCTGTGTTGCTCCCGCCCTGCTCGTTAGTCCCCGTGTGTGTGTGTGTGTGTGTATATATACCTGGTGTTTCTGTCTTGTCTTTGTCGGGTCATTGTATGCTGTCTCCTGGAGTTGCTGTGAGGTCTCCTGTTGTTTGTCGTGTCTCCCTCTGTTTGGACTACCTGAGTTTTTGGACTCTGTATTCAGCCACTCACCTGTAAGTGTGCTCGCTTTTGGTTCATTCATTAAAACCCCTTTGTACTATACCTCTTCCTGCCTTGCGTCCTGTGTTTGGGTCCTCCAACCTGCCTCACCCACACCGAACCGTGACAGAATGACCCGACCAAATATGGACCCAGCAGACACAAAAATGGAGAGGGAGAGGTTCTTGGACGTTTTGGCCGAACTATGGACAATCTGGCAGTTCGCGTCAAGCCGCAAATCCCGGCAAGCTGCCCTCGTTAAGGCTCACTGGGAGGTAGCCACAAGGCCATGGCTGCGACGTCGACTGCCAAGGTGGGCCAAGAGTTTTGTGAACTCCAGCCCCCAGCCTGTCCTGGCCCGCTAGCGCTGCTAGCCCCCAGCCTGTTTTCTGGCCTGCAAGTGCTGCTAGCCGCCTGCCCGACCCCTGGCCTACTCCTGCTCCCAGGTTCCACTCGGTGGTCCCACCGACACCTGTTGCTGGTCCCTCATCAGAGGTCCGACCGACACCAGCTCCGTTGGTGGCCCAGCCGACTCCTGTTCCCTCGTCGGTGGTCCGACCAACACCAGCTTCGTTGGTGGCCCAGCCGACTCCCGTTCCTCGTGCTCCGTCGGTGGTCCGACCAACACCAGCTTCGTTGGTGGCCCAGTCGACTCCTGTTCCCTCGTCGGTGGTCCGACCGGCACCTGCTTCGCCGGTGGCCCAGCCGACTCCTGGCCCCTCGTCGGTGGTCCGACCGGCACCTGCTTCGCCGGTGGCCCAGCCGACTCCTGGTCCCTCGTCGTTGGTCCGACCGGCACCTGCTTCGCCGGTGGCCCAGCCGACTCCTGGTCCCTCGTCGTTGGTCCGACCGGCACCTGCTTCGCCGGTGGCCCAGCCGACTCCTGGTCCCTCGTCGGTGGTCCGACCGGCACCTGCTTCGCCGGTGGCCCAGCCGACTCCTGTTCCCTCGTCGGTGGTCCGACCGGCACCTGCTTCGCCGGTGGTCCGACCGGCACCAGCTTCGTTGGTGGTCCGACCGGCACCAGCTCCGTTGGTGGCCCGACCGACTCCAGCACCTCGTGTCTGGTCCATGGTCCCCAGCCCAGCTGTCCAGTCGGTGGTCAGACCGACTCCAGCTCCTCGTGTCTGGTCCATGGTCCCCAGCCCAGCTGTCCAGTCGGTGGTCAGACCGACTCCAGCTCCTCGTGTCTGGTCCATGGTCCCCAGCCCAGCTGTCCAGTCGGTGGTCAGACCGACTCCAGCTCCTCGTGTCTGGTCCATGGTCCCCAGCCCTGCTGTCCAGTCGGTGGTCAGACCGTCTCCAGCTCCTCGTGTCCGGTCCATGGTCCTCAGCCCAGCTGTCTCGTCGGTGGTCCCACCAACACCATCTCCGTTGGTGGTCCAGCCGATTCCTGTTCCTAGTGCTCAGTCGGTGGTCAGACCGACTCCAGCACCTCGTGTCCGGTCCATGGAGTTCACAAGAGTTTTGTGAACTCCAGCCCCCAGCCTGTTTTCTGGCCTGCAAGTGCTGCTAGCCGCCTGCCCGACCCCTGGCCTACTCCTGCTCCCAGGTTCCACTCGGTGGTCCCACCGACACCTGTTGCTGGTCCCTCATCAGAGGTCCGACCGACACCAGCTCCGTTGGTGGCCCAGCCGACTCCTGTTCCCTCGTCGGTCGTCCGACCAACACCAGCTTCGTTGGTGGCCCAGCCGACTCCTGTTCCTCGTGCTCCGTCGGTGGTCCGACCGGCACCTGCTTCGCCGGTGGCAGCCGACTCCTGTTCCCTCGTCGGTGGTCCGACCGGCACCTGCTTCGCCGGTGGCCCAGCCGACTCCCGTTCCTCGTGCTCCGTCGGTGGTCCGACCAACACCAGCTTCGTTGGTGGCCCAGCCGACTCCTGTTCCCTCGTCGGTGGTCCGACCGGCACCTGCTTCGCCGGTGGCCCAGCCGACTCCTGTTCCCTTGTCGTTGGTCCGACCGGCACCTGCTTCGCCGGTGGCCCAGCCGACTCCTGGTTCCTCGTCGGTGGTCCGACCGGCACCTGCTTCGCCGGTGGCCCAGCCGACTCCTGGTCCCTCGTCGTTGGTCCGACCGGCACCTGTTTCGCCGGTGGCCCAGCCGACTCCTGGTCCCTCGTCGGTGGTCCGACCGGCACCAGCTTCGTTGGTGGTCCGACCGGCACCAGCTCCGTTGGTGGCCGACCGACTCCAGCTCCTCGTGTCTGGTCCATGGTCCCCAGCCCAGCTGTCCAGTCGGTGGTCAGACCGACTCCAGCACCTCGTGTCCGGTCCATGGTCCCCAGCCCAGCTGTCCAGTCGGTGGTCAGACCCACTCCAGCTCCTCGTGTCCGGTCCATGGTCCCCAGCCCAGCTGTCCAGTCGGTGGTCAGACCCACTCCAGCTCCTCGTGTCCGGTCCATGGTCCTCAGCCCAGCTGCTCAGTCGGTGTTCAGACCGACTCGAGCTCCTCGTGTCCCGTCCATGGTCCTCAGCCTAGCTGCAGCTCCAGAGCACCAGAGCTTTGGGTGCCGACCTCCGGAGAGGTCTTCCCGTCGGCCTCCAGTGGGTTTCCGGCCTCTTTGTTGGCCTTCCTGCCGTCCCCCTGAACAGTCCGGCCTCCAGGGCCGTACTCCGGGACGGCCACCTGAACTCTGTGGACCCTCTGGTCCTCCCGCCCAGTTGGGTCGTCCTCCCAGGCGACCTCCTGAACGTTGTTGCCTCCCTGTTCTGCCCGGCCTGTTGGGTCGTCCTCCTGAACTCTGTTCTCCCTCTGATTTGCCCGGCCTCATGGGTCACCCTCCGGGACGACTCCCTGAACTCTGTTGCCCACCTGGTCCATTGGGTTATCCTCCAGGACGACCCCCTGAACTTTTGTTCCCCTCTGGCCGCCTCGGTCAGCCTCCTGAACTGCCTTGCCCTGTCTGTTTGACCTCCCCCCTGTACTCTGGTCCCCTTCTGTCTGCTCCTTGGACAGTGGGTTTTTTGTTTTTTCTGGCCCTCCTCCAGTCCTCCCTCCGCCCCCCCGGGGGCTGCATGGACATTTTGTTTCTTGCTTTGAAGGAGCGTCTGGGATCCGTTCCTTGAGAGGGGGGTACTGTCATGAGTTGTAGTTTTTGCCATTTGTTTCTGGTGTCCTTCTGTTTTCCTGTTCTTCTTGTTTCCTTGTCCTTAGTGTTTATGTCTTGTCTGGTGTTCTAGCTCGTAGTCCTGTGTTGTTTTGATATTGGTTTGGTAGTCTACTTGTTATATTGTTTCTTAGTCACTGCCTTAACTCTTGTGCCTGCATTTTAGTTCTTTGTCCTTGTTCCCAGTCCTGTACCTTATGTTAAGTGTTCACTCTGGTCTGTTTTGTGTTCAGTAACCTGTGTTCCGTCTGTTCCCCCGGTTGTCACTCTGCCTGCATGTCAGTCTCTCTATTCACTGTCTCTCTCTCTGCCTGCCTCGTTAATCTCATGTCCTTCACCTGTGTTGCTCCCGCCCTGCTCGTTAGTCCCCGTGTGTGTGTGTGTGTGTGTGTGTGTGTATATACCTGGTGTTTCTGTCTTGTCTTTGTCGGGTCATTGTATGCTGTCTCCTGGAGTTGCTGTGAGGTCTCCTGTTGTTTGTCGTGTCTCCCTCTGTTTGGACTACCTGAGTTTTTGGACTCTGTATTCAGCCACTCACCTGTAAGTGTGCTCGCTTTTGGTTCATTCATTAAAACCCCTTTGTACTATACCTCTTCCTGCCTTGCGTCCTGCGTTTGGGTTCTCCAACCTGCCTCACCCACTCCGAACCGTGACACAAAGGGCCCAGAGGAGCCACAGCAAAAGCTGTTGGGCTTATCCACATTACCTGAGGCAGCAAGGGACACAGTTTCAGGACAAAAATATGGAGTCTTGTGCAGCTGATTCTTCGGCTGCAGCGAGAGGAAACCGCGTAGTCAGCTAAGAGGGGTCAAGAGCATGGGGTGTCAGAGGTTATCCTTTTCTTGATGCAAGGACGGTGGAGACCGTTCCTCCTTCTACAGGTATAAAACTAAAGAATGCTTTCTCTTGGGATCAAAAAATGTGTTTGGTAACACAAAAATGAGAAAAAGAAAACAATATGCTATTGACCAGCAAGTTGTCATAATACAAGAACTTAAGGACTCAAAGGCAGACTCGGAACAGTTCGAAGGGGTAACAAAGGGTTTTATTGAAAAGTGCAACGGAAGACTGGGTGGTAGGTTCCAACAGGGCAGAATGGAGAACACTGAGGAGGGGAGTTTGTCCAGGCAAGATGTGAGCAGAGCAGGGTGTGGCGTTCAGCAGAGTTCCCGGAGGTAGTGTGATCCTGGACACAGAGAAAAACAGGTTAATCCAGGGAGACACAGAAATTACAAGGACTCTTACTGGAGTAGATGGTTGGCCTTGACGCATGTACCACATGTGGTTAACTGACGATCTGGAGAAGAATGTGAGGAGGACTGGGGTTGAAATACTGCAGGAGCTTGATTAGTGGAATGAGGACCAGGTGTGCTGCTGGAGCCAGAGAGTGTAGCCACGCCCAGACAAACACAGACAGGGAGGACAGACAGAAACTACACAGGGAAGGGGGGAACAAAAGAACACAAGGTAGTGGGGAGATTCTGCAGTACCACAGCACGAGTGACTTGCAGACTTACAATTTGTTGATTCTACAACTTAACTTTTCAACATAGATTATCTTTAATTATTTCCATACAGCACTCATGCTACTGTCTATATCTCTAAACACCAGTTGAAGGCTCTACTACCAACTCTGCCATCTTTAGCAAGCTAACATTATGAATAACATCAGTGAGTTATAGGAAGTTGTTGTTCCATGTTGCTGTACAGAAGCTTCCTGTCCTAAGTATGTAGCCAGAAAATCAATATTGTATAGAGAACACTAATAATGCAGAAGGTGTGTAATAGTAACGCATGTTCATAATAAATTATACAAAGAATAAATTTCTACTTATCTTTAGTAATCAGTAGGGAAAAAATATACTGTCACTCTACTCAAGAAAAGACTGATGGTCAGATTTCTCCCATCCCCACCCCACAGAATTGCCCGAAACCTGGAAGTGCGGAATATGGTATTTGACCACTTTGGGAAAAATGTCCTATATGCAGACAAGATGAGCCCTGATGCTTTTGTACAGATGGCATTACAGCTGGCTTACTACAGGTGAGTTGTTGAAAAGTCATGTGGAGTTTTGTATGTAAACATCTTACTCATTACATTATAAACAGGTGATCGGAGAGCTGCAAAGGTTTCATGTAAAACATGTTTTAAAACTAACGTAGATTACTGTATCCATTGAAATGTACCAGGTTTTCAAAAGCTTTCAGGTTGTGTCTAAAATCAGGGCATTAGTGATGAGGAGACAGAATATTGTTGTGGTCATCAGCAGTACATTTTCTCAGCCGGAAACTGGAGTAATGGAAAAAACAAATGCTATCAGCTAAATCACGGGATAGTTAGTAAAACATTACACTCACTGCGCACTGTGCTGAGCTACAGTATATTTCTGACTAGTTAACAAGTTTCAGGTCTCTATGTCAATTCAATTTTAGTTTTAAGTTATCTTATTTGTTTTTACTATCAATACAGCAGGAGTAGACATAAGTACTATATGAGGGGTATACAGGGGTGACAATAGAACAGTGGATAAAACACTCTGTTATCTACATAAAATTTATGGAGTGTTTCCTCATAATATTACCAAATGGAAGCATATTTACGATGAATATGAATCCAAGCACAGAACCTTGTAGAACTCCATGACTAACTTTGGCATGCATAGATTTCTTGTTAAATCTCAGTTTGTACATGTTATCTGTTAAACAGGACTTTCACAGCTTAGTAGTTCATTTAATGCAGTTTTGTTAGGGTTCTGTCATGGTGTTCTGATTTTTGTCTGGTTTATGCCTGTTATGGTTTTGATATTCTGTTTTTCCTGTTTTTAATTCTCATTCATGCTCTACATGTAGCCCTATGTTTGTTAGTGGTTGTTTCACTCCCTGTCTGAGTTTTAGTTCTGTGTTCTCAGTTAGGTTCTGTCTGGATAATGCATGCATCCCGTGTTTTCTGTTTTACCTTGTAAAATCCATCCTTGTGTGTTGTTGGGTGCTTTACTTCCTGTTTTATTTTAATATCATCTGTCTCTGTGTTCTTGGTTGAGCTCAATGGCTTGTCTGTATCTGTCCTCATTACCTGTTACCTTATAGTATGTCAAGTGTTCAAGCTTGTCTGTGTTTTTCTGTGCCACTTTTCTATTCTTTTTTTTTTTTTACACCCGTTTTGGATTGTGTTGTCATTTTTGGACAACCTTGGTTTGGACTTCTGCCTGCCATTTACATGTAAGCCTGAGTTTTCTGTTCTGCTGAATAAATCATACAAACTGGATTCAGCTCTGACTAGCGTCTGCATTTGGGCCCACCTCTAAGGTCATCTGTCTCTGTGCTCGGCAATCCTGACAAGATTAAATGTTCCAGTTTTTGTAATAGGATGTAATGATCAACAGTGATGAATGCCGCACTATATAACAAGTACAGAGACAAGTCCTTAGTCTGATCCAATTAAAAGGTCATCTGTAATTTGAACCAGTGCTGTCTCTAAATTCTGACTGAAAAACCTTCAACTGTTGGTATGTCGAAAGCCACACAACTATGTTGGGAGAGTTTATTGAAAATATTCCTCCCCTTTCTTTTGTCAGGATGTACCAGCGGTGCTGTCCAATAATGGAACCTGTCTCCCTGCGTACGTTCAGACTCGGCCGTCTTGCTTTTATGAATTCAACCTCGGGTGCATCAGCTACCTTTGTCAAGGCCTTTGACGACCCCAAAAAACAGGTCTGATGAACAAGAAACTTCTACTGCAACTCTGATGTAATGAGCTGGCTACTCAAAGTGGATCTCTTCTATGGGAATATTTTGGACAATTTTAAATCAGGTTTCCATTACCTTCCTATACCTGTCTTTAGAGTAGTAGCTCCTTGCCTTCCACCTGTGGTTCACTCCCCAGAACCCTCAAACTGGCTGCTGTCATCCCATCCTCAAAAAACTCCTCTCTCTCATATGACCACTTGTCAGCCTTTATTCAGTCTCAGCTTTGATTCAGAAATAATAGGTCTTGTCGCCTCCCACCTCATTAGCCCACCTCATCATCAATGACTTGTTTGACAATAACCATTGTAATCAAACCATTGCACAGCACAGAAACAGCCCTCCTCAAAGTCACTGCAGTAATCAAATCACTAATCAAAACTCAGTTTCAGAACTGCTTTTAATGTGAGAAAAATCCAGTTATATATTTTAATCTATTTTTATTTAATATTTTTAATTTACAGTATGTAATGTGTACCTTTGAAAGTGCTTTATAAATCATGTATTATCATTATTGGTATATTAATTTTTTCTCAGCTCAGTATTTGGCACAGGTGATGGTGTAGTTTTCATGGATTATTTTGGATCTTCTTTGTATTCTTCCTGTTTTGCACAGAACTCAGAGAAAGTTGATTTATTGGAGAAAGCTATCAAAGCACACAAATGGAACACCAACATGGTGAGTATCATTTACAGCACCACTCAATACTTTACTGATTTTGTGCTTTAGTTGGCTCAAATTGGATAACATTAGCTTGCTTGCCAACACCAACAAGTTGCTAACGTCATCCGGTGCAAAATCTTATAACTTCACCAGCTAATGTGATCCATATTACTGTCCTGTGTACCAACGGTTTTATGGCAAAGTGTTGATTTTAACCTGCAAGAAATGATGTAGCTTTACAAAACAAATGTGGAGAGATTTGTTTATTCTAGCCTATATTGATGTAAGACAGGGGCAGCCAGCTATTAGTATGAATTTTACACTGTTTCGTTGTGTTCAATTTCATTTTATCATGGTTTTACTGATACTCAGGTACACATCACTCGACCTTCTCAGTCGCTGTTTCGCACGTGACACACATAATATACAATAATGCAACATAACGCTGCAGGACAACACCACAGTGGAAGACCAATTCACTATACTAACGTTACTTATTGCGGTCTAATTGGTATAAAGTATAGCGACAAGGTCGATTATAATATTCAGTCCAGCTCACTAACCGTGTCATAATCATCCAATACGGTGCAGTGGGAGTTTCCGTGAGCTTCCAGCATGTTGTGTAAAGCTGTCTCCCAGTGTTTCGGTCTCTGTGTGTCCAATCATGCTCGCTCATGAATCTGAGCACATGTATGAGCACACACCAGGTTGCAATCTGAAAACCGCCCTGCTAGTGGCCACTGAAAGCGACAACGCTCCTTTTAAAATATGTTGTGTGTGTTTGTTATTGTCAATAATTTAATTCTTAAACATTTACAAACACTCTGATTTCACTATGAACCAAACAGGCATTCAGTGGACAGGACATATACGGACACCTCTTCGGTCTTAAGATGCAGGCTGTTGAGGAAAACATCTCCATGCCTGATCTCTTCACAGATACTTCCTATTCCAAAGCCTCTGACTTCAGACACTTTACCTCTCAGGTAAGGGTCAGGGTTGAAATTACACTATACTGCAACATAAGATAGCCTAAACCAGTACTTTACACTAAAAAGTGGTTAATTGGATAAATATAATAGAGACCGCTACCTTCATTCAACCAGTTTCCCAACAAAGAAACTGTTAAAATGTCCAGGCTATATGCATATGAGTAAAGCTGGTTTAGTTTTGTGACAGACTTTCCACATTATAACCAAGCGGTAACCTCCGCGTCTGAAACTTGATACTTCAAAATGGTAGTCCACAAACCAACGTGTGACGTCACCTTGACTACGTCCATTTATTTTATACAGGATGTCTGTGAAGGTTCTCATCCAGGTCATAGTTAGGAACTGAAGACATGTCTTAGACAAGGGACAAAACGTTTTTAAGTATCATCAACCAAGTCCGGTTGCCCTTGATTTTAACCTTCCTTGGATTCTTTTAAACAATCTATGGTCATAACAAGATGTTTGTCGTGGTGACAGCCATACACTGTTGAAAATGCATGCTTGGCCTCAAAAGAAGATTAACTTCATCTCATAGAAGCACATATTAGAGATCTCAGTGGTTGGATGGTAATTTTATCTTTTATCTTCAATTTTTCTTTCTGTGTTTTAGTTCTGTGTTGTTGCAAAACACTTTGTGACTCTGTGGAAAAGCGGCATACAAATAAAGTTTGCTTACCTTCTTAAAGTGCTTCAACAATAACTAACAACTGCTTTCTCACTTCTGTCCCTGTTCACAAGGTAATTTCAAAGTTTGACGGTCTGGCATGTATTGGCCCTGAACAACCTGGTAGATACCTGGTGTACTACAGTATTAAGAACGATCACATTGAACTCATGGTGTCCACTTTTGAAGCTTCCAACACCTGCAAAGAAACCAATGCAGTACATCTAATCCAAGCCATGGAGGATGCTCTGTTGGACATGAAGACCCTGCTGGAACAAACACCAAGAGCCAAACAGTGAATTTAATCCAGACTTAAAGCAGTAGTTCAATATTTTGGGAGATTTGATCCTTTTTTTTGCTGATAGTTTGATGAGAAGATCATACCACTCTCATGTCTTAGTACAAGACAAGAAAACAAAAGGAAGAGTTAGTCCAGCACGTAGCTCCCCATAAAGCTACAAATTGTTATTAAACAAAATAATGCGTTACATAGGGAGCTTCAGAGATGCTGATGGGTGGAACTGTTTCTAGTCTTCGTGCTAAGGTACAAGCCTGGTGGAGTGCTGAGGATGAATTAAAGCTGGTGTAAGCAACATTGGTGAAACTAGCAACTAGCGAAACTAAATTATGCAACTGAAAAAATCCCTCCACCCATTTTCAGGCCTCCCCAATAAGCCACTACCCAAAACTATATTTTTATACAGAGTGAGTGCATGAGGAGAGCACGTGTAGGTAAACATAGATAGATAGAGAGAGATATAGATAGATAGATAGATATACATATGTGTGTGTATAGAGATATATAGATATACGTGTGTATATATATGTGTGTATGTACATGTGTGTATATATATTAATTATATGATGTACATACATGTGCTTTCATTCCACGTAAACCTACTGATGCTCATTGTGTGCAAAATATGGTGCACGTGTCTTCTCCAATTATGAAACCTAATAACCACAAACTGCTATTTTAATGCAGGCTAATGAAAAATATGCAAAACGGTTTCTGATCAGCATGACCGCTGAATGAACAGATAAGGCACCAGGAATAACTAAGCCTGGCTGTTAGCCTGGTCTGGAGCAGGCTAGCTGCACAGAATAAATCGCCATGTTAACTTATGTGCTACTGCTTTCGCGAAACCGAGTCAAGCCTTAATTCAGCCAAGATATCTGGAAAAACCCGGCTTAATCCGCTATCTTGGTTTTGTGAAACAGTCCTCTGTCTGCTCCCCCTGTGATCACTCTGCCTGCCTGTATGTCTGCGTCTGATTGCCTCCACCTGGTCTTGATCCCGCCCTGCTAGTTACCTAGTGTTTAAATGTTTGCTTGTTCTGTCTTTGTTATGTCCTTGTCGAATGTTGAGTTTTCAGCTGTGCCCTGTTCTCCATGTTTTTGGATTTACCCAGTGGATTGTGTTTCTGTTTGGAGATACCTTTGTTTGGACATTTGCTGCAGTGTTCCCAGTGTAAGCTTTGTTTAAAAATAAATCTTTGGTTTGAACTGCATCATCCTGGCTGTTGTCTGCATTTGGGTCCACGCCTCTGACCCTGCCACTGCACTCAGCTACCTATGACACTAGTGCTTATGCTTCCTCGGGCTCCCAGTGAGTGTTTGGATGCCCTGCACAATGCAAAGTTCTCTTCCACTAAAGACCTTGTTTTAATTACTAGGCTGCAGTTCACGAGGATGACCTGCACAAGACGGCATTTTAAACAACCTTTGGGCTGTACGAGTACTCTCAGTTGCCTTTCAGGGTATGTAACGGGCCAGCCACTTTTCAGAGACTGATGCATGTGAGGAAGCGTGACTTGGTGTTGCAAATCATGCCTCTGTACTTGGATGACATTTTGGTGCACTCAGTCTTTTGAAGATCATCTAGCAAGTCTTCAGACGTTTCTCCAGAGACTGAAGGAGACAGGTTTTAAAGTCAAAGAGAAGACGTGTCACTTTTACCGGCCTAAAGTAGGTTTCCTTGGTCACCGGTTGCAGTCCTATATCAGCAGCAGGGCAAGAACAAAAGAGTGATTTGACAGTAGGAGGGTGCACAATACGGAGAAAAATGACAGCAACTACAACTTGAACTACTTGTTCTGAAGTGTGCAGTTTCAGACAAAATCAGGGATTACCTACTAGACAGAACAGGAACAGATATGGGCCCAGAGCTAGGAACTGTGGGTTCTAAGTGCTGTAAGGTGAGACAGGTTCGTGCCTCCGAGGCTAGGCAAGGCACTGACGGGAGTGACTGGCAGGTTAATACCTCCACTCAGCCTGGCTACTCTAAAATAGAGCTGCTCATAGATCCCACCCAAGTACATTTAGACAGTTCTGGGATAGGAAAACCCACCTGTAGGGAGAGAACAGGGTTAGCCAAGTCTGTAGTGTACTTATGTAGGCAGTGGTATCTTAATTAGCTTAGTAAAAATGTTTCTTTTGTCTGTTAAATTAGGTCTGTAGACTTAATTAACAGACAACACATAAAGAACAGCTGCAAAGTAATGTCTGCTACAAAGTGAATGTAAAAAGCTTGCATGCAAGTTGTTTGCAAAGTAACATCTCACCTAAATCAATGCTACAGTGAGTAGACCTACTTAAGAAACGAAATACCATAGTAACTCCAGTCAACCCAGTTTTCAGATGACAGAGTTGACAGCTTCTTCTGCGCCATGTGACCTGCCAAAGAACAACCTCTCGCATGCCACTGTTGAGGCAGGTGTTGCCAAGTACCTTGTTCATTATCTGCCAGCTTACCATGGGCACCTTTGTGGACAGACTACCACTGTAATGGATATGTCGCTATGCTGACACTGGGCTTTGCCCCGTACCTGTCTAGAGTTTTGTCTGTGGACAGTGTCTCATCATACAAGCCCTTTGACTTTGACCTATTAGTAAGACAGCCATCTTCTTCTTTTGTGCTTCTGGTTCCATTTCCTTTTGATGCAGACAGACAGACAACCAGACAACTTCTCTTCCCCTAATGTTTTACCCGTTTATCCTCCCTTCCTGCTCGTTTGTATCTGTATACCCCTTTCTGCCACCAAAACAGCCCTGACACTTTGTGGCATGGACTCCTCTGAAGGTGTGCTTTGATATCTGGCACCAAGATGTTAGCAGCAGATCCATTAATTCCTGTAAGTTGCGGGGTGGGGTTTGGAAAATCATTGTTATTCACTTCACCTGACAGTGGACATAATGTTATGACTGATCGATGTATATTATCCTCATTTCTGTTCAGTCCTTGTCAGATTGTTGTCTTTTTTTGCCATGTCGTCTTTTGTCTGCTCAGTACCTCTGCCTGGAACTCTACCTATGTTAATTTGTATGTATTGTGGATTCACATTTCACTCCTGTCTGTTTCGATTATTGTTGCTGTTGTTCAGTTGGATGCTTACTTTGGATTTCACTGTTTTGTTATTATTAATTTTTATAATTAATTATTTGCACATTGCCACGCTCTGTATGTGCGTAGAACATTACGTTTGTTCTTTCATTAATAAATAAAAACTCATCCTGCCTTGTCAAGTCTGCTATTGGGTCCTAAAAGCTGTTACATGTCTGAGCACACGTCACAGTATCTGACAGGCAGGAGAGCAGTGGTTACCGACTCCTCTCCTATAGCAGAAGCTCTTCTCCACGCATTGCAATCTGTATCCCTAAAACAAATTAAAGGAATTTCCTTGAAAACACAATGTTGAGAATTAACAGCAGAGCTCGGGTAAGTAACAAGCCTTTAGTTAATTCTACCTGTTTCCACTATCCTTACAGCTTTCTTCAGTTGCTTTGGTACATTTCTCAAATCACCATTTTCAAAACAGTAAGTGTATTAGTCGAAACAGATCTTACAGCACTATATAGTGGATTACCTGCAAAATCTTGTAACTTGCTCAAAAGCTGTCTGTCTTTCAAAAGTAAATATTTCGGTCAGTGAACACGTCATTGCCATGTAAGTATTTTCTGATGTAAACTATGGCTAAGGTTTGGTGCCAATGATTTGAAATTGCCAAAGCTGCACTTTTTCAATAGGACATACCAATTTCAACAGTAAAGTTATACATTATTATATTATTATAGTGTGTACCATGGCTGACATCAATACTATTCAGCTGCCTAATTATACAATGTTAGCAATTGGGCAATATTAAATAGTGGGTAACTATCACGCTTTCAGAGTACACTGTCATTTGACAAGATGTCTTTGCATTTTAGCTGTCTTGGTCCAAGCACTGATAAAGGAACCTTTTGTTTTGATTTCAATGATTTAATCATTGTATTATGTAAGTATAAGCCTTTGGCATCTGGTCAAGATAAAACAGCTGTGATCCTTCCAGTTTAACTAGATATTAATATATAAAATACATACTGTTCATTCATGTATCGCTCAGGTGGGAATGGTGAAGCCCTGTCACTTGGTTAAACCTGTATCAGCAACTCTGGTTGCTGCCAGAAACCAGACCCAGCAGAAGGGACTGCCCAGTCAGCCTGTCCCCCCTCTGCATCAGACCTGTGAGCTCTACCTCAGCATGCTGGAGCCCATCGTGGAGGAGGACGAGCTGAAGCGCACAAAAGAGCTGGTGAAAGACTTTCAGAAAGCAGGAGGGGTCGGAGAGAGACTGCAGAGAGGCCTGGAGAGGAGAGCACGCAACACTGAGAACTGGGTGAGCTCAAGATCTACACCAACAGCTGTAGACACATCATCGCAGCATTATTGTTCGGACACCACACACATTTTCTGGAAAAAGGTGCTAATATGATCCTGGGAGTGAGCTCCTCACACACTCTGTATTCATTTAAATGCATTCAGTAAATCAGTTTATAACACATGATTTCATGATTATCTTGACTCAATGTTAACATAATGATTTAAAAACATTAACTTCGACTGCAGTTAAACTCTTAAATATTAATGCCCTAACAACCAGTGAGGGAAAATGGTGGGGCTATGGTGGCTGGTGCTGCAGCTCGGAGGTGGAGATGGTGTAGGTACATCTGGGCCCAGTTGTTCAAAAACTTAATCTGGATCAGAATGATCCGGATTTGGAAATCTCATGTTTTGCTATCCAAGATCACGTAATCCGTCTCACTTTTGTGCCGTTTTTTCAAAGCAACAGTGGATTGGATCACCCTGATCCAGATACAGACTTTCCTGGATTACTAAATCTAAATAACCACTGCCCCCCCTGCTGGTCATGATGTACAATTCTAGATGATGGGGACTCGTGTCAGTTTTTTCCCTCAGGTGTTTTAGGTCTGGGTGATGAGGGGAGAAACTCATAAGAGGAGGCATGGGCGCTTGGCTCTCCCTCTGGTCCACCTTCCAGCCATGGCAGCAGCACACCTCTGAGACTGCGACTAATTTGTATTTCTTTTATTATTTTTTTTCTTATATTTCTGATGGGACTGGTAGTTTAGTTTTCGTGGCTTTAATTCTGTTTGTTTAGTTAGGGATTGGTTAAGGGTAGAGGGGAAGCCTCCAGATCCTACGGCCCTTTGTGGGCTGGTCTGGAAGGCTTCCCTTTCTTATGTTTGTTTTAAGTTAAATTTTGAACTTATTTCATGTTTATTTCAATAAACTTATGTTTTTGCATTACTCCTGGACTCTTCGGTTATGTTCAACCCCCTCTTGTAATGAGCTTTGGTGGAGGTCGTAATAATTGGATTAGGTGATCTTATCCAATTTTAGAATCCTTTTTTTTTTTTTTCAAGATTTGATCCAATCTGATAGTTGAAATCCAATCAGATTACTTTTGAACAACTGGGCCATGATGTTAATGCATCCCTAAGGCAGGTAACAGCCCCATGAAACAGCTTCTTTACAAACTCTCAAGTGACTTCATCCCTTCTATCCTCAATGAACTTGTATCTTTCCGAGTCTGCGTGTATATGTCACTGATTGTTTGTAACTGTTTGCAGTCAACAGAGGATTTTTTAAAGGAAGATTATCTTCACAAACGGCATTCTTTGGTGGTTCAGTCAAACACTGGGATAGTGTTTCCCCGGATGGAATTCATAGATAAACAGGAACAAATGAGGTACACACACACACACAGGCCTACTGTCTTTACACTCATGGCCTAATCAGCCAACCACATGGCAGTAACTCAATATATTTAGGCATGTATACGTGATCAAGGCAACTTGCTGAAGTTCACACGAGCATCAGAATGGGAAAGAAAAGGGATTTAAGTGACTTTGAACATGGCATGGTTGTTGGTGCCAGACGGGCTGGTCTGAGTATTTCAGAAACTTCTGATCTACTGGGATTTTCATGCACAACCATCTCTAGGGTTTACAGAGAATGGTCCGAAAATATCCAGTTGTGTGAATGAAAATGCTTTGTTAATGTGAGATGTCAGAGGACAATGGGCAGAATGGTTCGAGATGACAGAAAGGAAACAGTTACTCAAATAACCACTCGTTACAACCAGAATATCATCTCTGAACGCACAACACAACGAACCTTGAAACAGATGGGCTACAGCAGCAGAAGACCACACCGGGTGCCACTCCA